TTTTTCGCGTTGGCTCCAATCGCCACAGTCGCCAACATTCAAGGATTGATGTACTATATTGCAGAAATCTCCCGAAGATTTCCAGTAACTCTTAGTTTTTTGTTCATTTTGCCATCCAAATCTTTTCGTCATATCACCGTTTTCTGCCAATCGCTTGCTTGTATATCTCCCCATTCATCGCACCTTTTTTTTCCGTTTGAACTGATATAAAACGATGCGAAAATCTGGTACAATATGACGAAACTCAGAGGTATCAAGCTTCAATGACACAGTGAAATTGGAAACATCAAACTCTGAGACAGAATTGGATGAATGCTTTCTGTGATTGATGAAAAACTCATTTCGGAGAATCGTAAAATTTTCAGATGCTCGATAAACTGTTGGGAAACCGAGATTTCCTGCCAAATTCGTGGTTCAATAAACTGTTTAGCAGATACATTTGTGGTTGGCACTATGTGAATCCTTTCTGTGATAATATACTCTTCCAAATCGGTGGTCCAGACAATCAATTCAATCAAGTGATTTTTTCCATTGTTTTCCAATTGCTTCTGGAAATATTCCCATGTTTTTCAATCGTACGAGTAGTATATTTATTCATTTATTATTAATTTATCACGACGAGTAGTACGTCACCATTATTCGAAAAAATTCGCGGAGCTCAGGTCGTGAGTTAATCAGTGATTTGTGACACTCTAACAGAAGGTTTTTAGTCTCGAGTGCCAGTGTTTTTGGCACATACACCTGCTGGAACGTCCACACAAAATATACGCCACTGGAGACAAATGGTACAGTCTGGCAATACGCAAGCTTATGATTACGGCTCTGCGGAGGAGAATATGAAACATTACAGTCAAGTTAGTCGATTTTTTTACTCTTATACTGTGAAATGGGGTGATTAAGTGGGAAAATCTATTTTCCATGATGATGAAAATTCAAATGAAACTGTTTTCATGTGTGTAATGATGATTTCCAGGCTACAGCACCGCTTTATAATCTTTCTCGAGTGAGCACACGTGTGTATTTGTATTGGAGTGATAAGGACTGGTTGGCAACTGAAACGGATATAAAGGTTTTGGAGTTTTTTTCAGAATTGCATATCATCAGATAGCTTAAGTCGAAAAAAGTCGACCGCAATTCGGAGAAACTGATCCAGTTTCCACTAGCTCTGTAATAGCTGACATGTTATTGTACAATCCTATCAATAGAAGGCGATTTTTGGACAATTTCTGCAAATTTTATCCTTCATTTTGGTATTCTACAATTTTGGACAAGACAATCAAAACTCAGGCAACAAACTTCGTCAGAAATTGAGAATGATTATGAATTGCTATAGGCTCTACTGCTTGTATCATGGAAAATAAGTAACTGAGAATACTGACGAGATATAACGTGTTATACTTGGAGATAGAAAGCCTAGTTAAGCTTCAAATTTTCCTTCTGAAATAGTACCCTCACGCTAGATCTAGGCTAGGTTTCAAACGTACGCTTAGCCTGAATCTAAGCCTCAACTCAAGCTTACCTTGGCATCATCTAAATTTACATTCGCCGCTTGTTAAACTTTCAATTCATGGTGCATATTGCCCAAAACGTTTTCATTTGTCGTTTTCAGAGGTCACTTCTTCCAAAGATACAGCCACAGTTTTTGAAACAAAACAATCGCCTCAACGATTACAATCATTTCGATTTCATTTGGGGATTGCGTGCACCCGACGAAATCTACAAACCAATTATTCGTATCATAAGTGCACATGAAAGTCGAAGACATGCATGGCGATATCGTCGTTGAACCAGTCATTCAATACATATTGTCATTTTATGTTNCCCAAACAATCGCTAAAAATCGCTCGTGATCAGTGAAATTCTCTCGGATTCTCGAACGAAACTTGTTGCATTCTGATTAGTTCTTCCAGACGCAACTGGTGTTATGTGCTCGTTCAGTATACTGTTTATTTCCTTTCAATAACTCATCTTGTGGGTAGCATTGTCCGTAATATGTATATTTTCCGAATGAAGGAAGGTATCAGTCAATTTGCGTTCAGTGTTCTATCTCACCGTTTCAATGTGATCGACTGCGCTCGGCAAATAGATATTAAATTCATTTTTGGGTGCTTATGAAGCAAATTAAGAACAGAATTATTATATAGTAACAGAATAATTTGTGTAAAATAAAGCTGCATTGAATGAAACTGAATTAAGTAAGATAAACAAACAACATCATTTCACGGAGTTTTCACATATATGAATAAATCTGGCATTATCGGATAATATGATAACTCTTCAACTGCTTGATAATGTGAACAAGGAAGACCATACACACAGATTCAATGTGAGAAAACTTAAGATCTGAATTGCTGAATTTTGTTCATCAAATGATGTGATAAATGCCAAAACAAAACGGAAACAAAGCAATCGAGAAGCATAACTTACAGAAACAATATCGACGATGAGATATTCAATATCATTAAGAAATTCGACTGGGAATAATAAACAATCAACTCAAAACGACTACGAATGAAATGTAATAACGTATGAAGAAGCATTTGCATTATTCAGAAAGGTTTTACCGTATCATATTATCAAACAAACATAATAATAAGTACGTCCAAAACATATAAATAATAAAGAAATAGAAATGAGAGACTTTCGAAGCCTCTGAGATCAATACGTAAAAGCGGCTTAGTCGCGAAACACAGAAAAATTGAACAGTGGAAAAAATTCATTTCTAAAATCAGATAAGATAAGATAAGATAATAAGAGCAATGCGCGGGACACAAGAAATCATCAAATTAAGAGTGAGACCCTGAATGCGCTCGCACACATACTGCGATCGAACAGTGCTCCGTGTTACGGTACGGTTAAACTGCTTAATAACCGCCGATCGACCGTATCAAACACCAGTGGGCACGTGGATAATAGAGCCGCCGCACAGAGCACCGTTACCACAGTAACAAATCAACAATTGACAACTCATGCTAGAAGCCACAAATGTTGAGAATATTCACAGTGAAATTACCGATAATAAGGGCAACAGAATTACTAAACAGTATCAAAAGGATGTTACTAATGAAAATAATAATACAAACAGATAACATTATGATAACAATACTAATGGAAATAACAAAAGCAAAAATGAAATACAATCTTAGTACTATAGATATTTTGAAATCAGTGAATACATGCGATAAACGTGAACATCTCACATCCACATAACAACAATTACACACTACAATGATAAAATTTTAGCACCCAAATCAAATTTCTTCACAATATTATGCGCACTAAATGAGAATTGAGAAAATTGCATCGAAGTGCTCAAAGCAATTCATTGTAAAATTTAATAAGACAACAATTAAAGATAGTGCAAAGTGCGTTTGTTTGAACTATAATTATGATGTTTGAGTATAGATTGGGATGATGAACAACTAGATGAATGAACAAGCAAAATAATTAAATGAGTAGTAATAGGATGCTCGGATACCCTTCCAAAGAATGAATATATGCTTTAAGTGTTACGGAACGTACGACGACATTTTATCGTGTAGAAACTCTGAAAGCGATAACAGTGTTTGTGCTTTTTTTGCGAAAATTCGTTTGCTCCCAAATCGAATGGCACACGAAAGACTAAAATCATGAACACTCTCAGAACTTGTCGTGCACAACAGAGGACTGACTGCATTTTGAATATTTCCTGCCACAATCAGATCGAGTCGGCTGGCTGTGTTTATGGGATATTCTAGAGACTAACTGTANAAAAAAAACATCGTACATTGCAATTGAACGACAATCATATAAGATGTTTTGTTTTGTTGAAACTGTAATCCCAATGTGACCTGCTGCTGCTGCTGCTATCCCAGCGTGCTGACATTAAGGTCAGTATTCGAGGTGAATCCCGAGAGTTCAGTGATTCCCTTCTTTTTGTTCCAGACGGGCGTTTGTTCTGCCCGGCAACATTCGGTTTCCAAACAAAATTGATTTCTTCATGGGTCAACGTGACTGACTGACTTAAGTTGACGTACATTCCAGCTGATTGATTGATTGATGGATTTCCTTCCGATCAATTTCATGATCAAGTCGGAATTTCACAACCATCCGCATCAGTTCATCGAGATCTCTCCGGTTTGGACTTCAGACAAACATCACATAATGTTGCAAATCGCTTCCCCTCTCCCCTCCCCCTTCCCCTCTCCGTGAACTACATTCAGTTTTATAAGAAATTTCCGAATTTCCGCTCAAAATATTCGTTTATGATCGTGGAGCAACCGGAAATCATAATCAAGTCGGAATCTCCCACTAATTTTCATTCGTGCGTCTATAGGTAGACTAAGTTTTTGCTTCATTGAGGACAGCAGGTGCAACAATGAGAGAAGATGTGAAAACATTAAAACAAGTACTATATGTGAATGACCAAATGAATGAGTAGTAATAAATAGTCGAAAGCGGAGACCCGAGTTCCGCTCTGAGAATATTCGAATAGACTGAAGAGGAGAGTATAGATGAGAAGCACATTTTGACGATTCGACTGACTCTGAATAAGTCGGAGATAACGAGAGCTGATTGCGGAAGGATGGATGTTGCTGGTCGGTCGTTTCATACCTCATTTGCACACACACNCACACACACGTGACACAACGCCATACCTGAACTTCATCAATCAAATCGCCTGTACAACTTTGAAACCTTTTAAACAGAAACATTGAATACAACTGAACGAGCAGCAACAAACATTGACTATCCGCTGAAAATATCCGCAATGATCTGGATACTATCTAAATCTGGGGGCTCAAACATACTACCTGGCCTTTCTTACTATTCAGAGGTATGCAAGTCGAGCATGGAATTATTCATGAGCGAAACATTGCGAGGAGTTTACTTTCGATATGTTCGTGGATATTGAAAATTGAGTGAACAAATTGGTCGTCGCTGAATATTGATACAAGAAATGAAAAATTATAGTTAAGAAAGTTACTTACCGCAGCATATATGGATAGATTGAAAACTTTCTAACGACACCCGCAACTTAATACTTCCATGTCCGGATAATTCTTAATAACGATTTTACTTTCCACATCAATATAGAGTATAGCTAATGATTCCATTTCGATTGGTACACAACAAGGTGCTGGCACTTGGAAAGGATTAACGGAATTGATGAGTCCTTGCACAATTGCATGATTGGTCGTATTGAAGTGCGATGTTAACGGATTTGGACATTCACCTTGACACTGGAATGCACTGTAGCTAGCTGAAATTGTCACAAGCGTCAGCAACCATTACACGTGAACCTAACGAAACTATAGCGCAATTGCCTTCCGGATAGCCGCCATCTTACAGTTGCCGCCGGATAACTGTGCCTAGAGCATGCCGATTCCACACGTTTCAGGGCATATCTGGGCAAAAATCAATTATTTTGACGGTCAGATTCAATGGATCAAACGGCAACTTTTGACGCACGCGAGTTGACTGATGAAAACGCTTACGAGGCGCAAGAATCCAATCTTGCCAATTAAGTTCATTGAAATCTACGTGAAGTTCTCGTCTCTGACATAGATTCTTTTCCTGTGAGCCGACCCTATGGTTATGTTTACGATGTTGATGCCGTCGTTTGCCACCCGCCTTCCGTTTCTTCCTGATCTGAAGCAAGCGATTGCTTCATCAAACAAAGCCAAAAAAAGACGAAGACGAGTTCAGGTTGAATTTTTCATTGAACTGGTCGCCTAAATGAAATAAACAATTTCAAATCAGTGCAATTTCTTGAAATCGTCGCTCAGCTGAGTCAAGGTGTTCGAATTTAAATCAGTGGCAAACAATCATTATTCACCTTAATTGCCTCTTCATCATTGGTTTCAACGTAAACAACTAATGCAGCCGCTTGTGTTCTACTGCGCGGTATCGTTGGTACAGTGTTCGTTGATGGAAAGGATGGTGGTGTGAGATGTCCATCGGAGAGCTCGATTGCAAAATCTACCTGAAAATGGATGAAATTGGATTATCACTGAACGATGAGAACTCTTTTACGGCGCCATGTGATAAATGATGCTTCAGAACGTACTCGATTTCGGTCGGGTCGCCTCCTGGTGAGTGCTTCTGACACATCCATATCAACCCATTGATGATCTTTTTTTGGTTCAGGTTCAACTTGTTTCGAATCCAGCAATCTAAAAACCATTCATAATGTCGATGATCACTTTAATCATTTGTTACTTTTCATGGAAACGAAAAGTGACGATAGTAATCGATGAAAATTGCACATTGAAAGATTTAGTTTTTCGGTAGTTATCGAAATCCGGAATTGATGAGACGAACTCAGTCGGATTTTGACTGAAACCAGCATTTCAATTACTGTAAATGCATGTCTATCTATCTTTTGAATGTTGCTGTGAACGTTTGGAAAGTTTGCCTGTACGAACCGTTTAATATCAGGATTACGTTGATCAACTTCGTAGACTTTAACCCGTCTCTTGACGATTCCCTTGTTCAGTTTCAATTTGAGATCTGCGCGAAGAATGCGCTCGCTAGTTGCATTTTGTACGGTCACAGTAAGGTTGTATCGCAGCAACAATAATCTGAATAATCAACTTATCAGCGAATAACTCTAGATTTTGATACAATGCATTTTGGTGGATACAATAGCTTTGTTCGAATATCATCATTGAAATTCATTAGAGATTATGCGATTTCTCCAGCTTCCNTAGAAATGAACCTACCTGTCTTCGCTTTCCATAATTCGTTGTGGATAATAATGCCGAACCCATTCGACTTCTTCACTTTGAACCTTGTCGTAGATATCCCATAAATAATTTGGTATCGGTAGCGCAGGAAGTTCCTGTTTTGGTTGTTCTTTCATTCCGAACCTGACAAAACGCAAGAGCTTTCAGATTTATCTCTTCGTTCAACACAAGGCTTCGTTTTCTGAGCAATTTTCACATGAGCTAAACTAAAAAGCAATCTCAGCAACTCGATAACATCTTCGTGTATTTTCCTAACGTTTCTTTGCCTAATTTCGTTGCTGACACTCTGTCTCAAAATATCACAGTTAAAATAGAATCAATCGGTTAACAGAACGAGTATGAACCTTAAAGGAGCTAAACTTATTCTAGAAAACATTGATGCTTTGCGGATTTTCTTCGGAGCAAACATGCACCAATTTCCAATCCTAGATCAGGTTTCATTTTTTCAAAGAACTCATTAGTTTCAGAGAACATTTAATTTTTGGTCGTTTCCATGTGATCAGCAAAAACAGCGTTCTGTGATCATAGTAATGATCATAAATGAAAAATTCAGTGGAAATGTAGAAAATGAAGGAAAATCAAAGCTGATCACTAACTAACTAACTAACTTTCTCAAGAAACTCCTTCGAATTAAATCAATTTCAGCGTCCGTGAAACGATTTCGAGTCGGATTGCTAAGCGCTGCTTTCAATGCACTACTGATTGGTGGTCGTGGTAGTAGAGCGATCAGCACAATCAGATAAAATGTAGTCGTCGTACAGAGATGACAACGACGATACAGATGACGAGTGGTGGTGGTGCTGGTTGGTCGGGATGTTGAAGACGTTGAAAGTGAGAATTTAGCAGAAGAGGACGAAGAAGAAGAAGAAGAGGATGAGGAGGCAGAAGAACACCTGATGAATGACGGACGAAGACAGATCGCTTGAGGCACAGCTGAACTTGGCGTTAAGCTTGAGCTAAGGCTTTGGATCATGGTAAGGTGAGGGCCACGTGCGCAAACAGCTGCATGAGGACGGATGCCGAATTGCGATTCGCACACTTCGGGAAATTTACGTGGCGCTGCTATCTTCTGCCATTGTTTGGCCCTTCAAAAAACCAACTAACTTCAAAAAGTGCCTGCCTGCAATAAGTTCAACCAAAACAACTTTTTTGTGTGTTCACACTTCCCGTGAGATAGTTGAATATCAATTGATGTCGTTTTGTTTATCTCAATTTGTTTTCTGCGTTTCAGTTTATCGGCAACAATTAAATAAAAATGTTGTGATGATGTTTGTAAAAATACTGATGGACAGTTGAAGTGATGATAAAAATGATAACAACAGCAAATCGGTTGTGATGATGATTACGATGATGAAAGAAT